ATTACAAAAAAATGATAAGAACAATAAAATTAGATTAACTGGAAAATTTGCCTGTGATAAAATACTCATAGAACAAATGTTTTTTTATGCTTAATAAATGAGTAATAAAAATAAAAGAAAGTTAAATATTTAGATTATTAAATAAATTACATATTAGATAACCATACTATAAATTTTGTTTTTTTATGCTACAAATGTCCTTTATTTTGATTTATGCAAGTATTCTTAAAAATATTTGTAAAGAAATGATCTTAAATCTAGTTATTGAATAAAATATTTAATATATACAATTAAAAAAAATCAATACATTTTATATTTAAACAAAAGAATTTTTGTTTTTTGTTGTAATTTTCAATGAATATAAAAAAGATCTACCAATAAAATCAGAGAAATAAAGTTGAAAATACATGATTAAAAAGCAATTTTTTTTAAAAAGTATAGAAAAACAAAAATTTTTAAGTCATGTAAATTATATAGCATTTAAGGCTTTTAATGTTTTATTAACAACAATAAATATATTAAAATTTACACAAGTTATTAAACAAATATTACCTTTATATTGCTGATTATACCATAGAAACAAGAATTCAATAAATTAATGTTATTTTTATTCAGCAAAATTTTAATTTGTATTGTTTTTTTAAAAAAAAGTATATTCTTGGTACATTGATTAAATCACAAATTACTCTCAATGCGAACAATGAATAAGTTTTTATACTTATAGTTCTTTTGGACTTTTTTTTTTCAAGATTCTTCTAATCTATTTGTCGTAAATAAATTTACAACACAGCTTATGCAAAAGTTTTTATTTTTTTTAAAGATAAATCCTATACTTTGTATTCTTTTGATTTTGATTTTTAACTTTAACCAATTAATCTGTAATGTAGTGAATTTCCAAGGTTTAACAATTGAATATATTGTTTAAAAACAACTATAAATACACCCTTAAATGATAAAAGAGTGAGAAAAATGCCCAACAAAATGAATAAAGACAATACAATAAAATTTTCCCTTTTTGAACTATAAATAAACTTATCTTATAACCTTTCTAAGCGAATCTAGGCAACAAAAGCTGGAACGAGAGACTACTTTTATATCTCTAAACTAATCTGCAGCAAATTTAAAAATATTATTAATAAGAGAAGAAAAAAAACCAAAAAGTCGATATCTGTATTGTAATATTACATAAAACAACTTGTAAATAAACGTTTAATAGTAGATATGCAGATAATTATAAATTTGATTCATCATTAGTATATATTATAATATCAAAATCTTGAAAAATACAAATTTATTTTCCCATTTTCAACCATACAATTATTATTGACCACATAAAGAAAAGAAGTCACAGTGTTCGTGAACCTATTTAATCCTATAGGAAAACAAAAATTAAAGCTACCAACTGTAATAAAGAATATGAATGATATTTTTTATTTAATTACGCGTATAAAAATACCTTTATTAACTTTAAATGAATAATAATTTACGCGAACAAAAAAGAAACATAGTAAACCAAAATAAAAACACTTTCACGTAATTCAAGATTATGCTTCTATTTTTTGTATTTACCACAATATATACAGAACCATTCCTACTAAAACAATATTATTTCTAGTTTTAAAGATAAGAAATCTTGAATTGTTAAAAAAACAAGTTTAGATCTATTTGCTATTATTACATATTTATAAAATCTATAACATCTAATTTATAAATTTATTTATTTTAAATTGTAATTTTGCGAAAAAATGCATTTGAGCTAATTCTCATACGAAATTATTGTATTTATATGTCTCAAATCTAATAAAATTGTTTTTTTTGGAAATTTTATCGCATCAAAATCGAAAAAATCTAGTAAAAATAAAATTACTATCTATATATTTTAGTTTCTTATAAACGTTCAATTAACTAGCTATATTTCCAAAAAAATAATAATCAACATAATGTACAAAAAAAGGCTTACTTTTAATTCATTATTACTTTATATGACATTTTTTATCATACAAAGAATAAATAGTTGACAAAACTGAAGAAAATAAAGGTAATTACTGCCTGAATTCTGTTGATCCGCACAGGAAAGTAAAATAACCTTTCCACAATTGAATATGATCAATATAATTAAATAATAATACAATGTAATAATGTCTATCTTTAAAAAAATTCCGTCTAAACATTTTACTATAAATTCTTAATTTCTTTTAGCATCTACAAAAAAATAATGATAGAACAAAAGAGCAGAAGTTGGAGAAAGAAAAGTCGTAATAAAAAGAGTGTTAATTTTTAAAATTAAACTAATAAAACAAAAATTTAATATTATTTTCTACTTTTTTTCTTTCTCACTAGGGATCTTCGATATATTGTTCTGAGATTAATATTTCATTTTTTTTGTATCTTATACAATATTTAAAAGTATTTTATATGTTTTAATAGTGATAAAAACTTAAACAAAAAAATATTATCACTCACATTCAACGAGGTAATAACTATTAAACAATATGCTTTTTATAACAATTTATGCACAGATTATATGTTATTAATATAACAATATTGATGGTTACAAAAAATTTCTAAAATAAATATTTAAAATGTAAAATCTTTCGTAGTGAACTATAATATTAATATATTAACGCGAAGCAAAAAATACATTTTTTACAGAATTTCATTAAAAAGATTATATAAGGAAGCTAATTATATAAGTGTATAGTTAAAAACGTGCAGTTAAACTATTAATATCATTATAAAACAATATAATTGAAATATTGAATCATTAAAATATTACTAAAAATTATATTTTACAAAATAACCACATTATATAATTAGGAATATTCGGCTAACACATCAACCAAAAAAGTTTTAATATAGTAAGTATAGTATATATTACCACATTTTAACCAAAAAGTGGATTAGTTTAAGTATCCCTATCGGATAAAACAGGAAAAAAATACAGAAAAAGATAAAAGAACGAAAAAGAAGTAATAAGAGGCAAAGAAGGTGTAATAAAGCAAAAAAATAAATAGTTAATATATTTTTTATTTTAGCTTCCTCTTTTATATTATTTTTTTAAAATTTTTTTTTGCTTTTCGAGTTCAGCGCAGAAGTTCTTGTCCATTCGTAAGATCATTGTTTACTACATTTGTAATGATATTTTTAATAGTTGAATTTGTGCAATAAAGAAATCATAATTTGAATTAAAAACAGAATTTTATCGATTAACTTTGATAATCGCAAAAAAATTCAGAAGCAATTATTATAGAATATATTTATTTGTAGATAGTGTCAATTTTCCGTGTAGTAAATCTTGTGTGATTTTATGATATACTTTTACATTTAATTCACACAAAATACATCATGCAACATTGTTTATCATAGTTAGAAAAAAATTTATAAGTTTTTTACTTATTACTTATGTGATATAAATATAACAGATACTTGTTAATAAATTAATTGTTTGTTAAAAAAAAGAAGAATAAAAATGTATATTAATAATTATTATTTAATAAAAGAAATAGTAGTTGTCCTACCCTGGCTGTATCCTACCGTGGGTGTGGTAGTTGTGGAAAAGAGATTTGGTATTGTGACCGCTCCTTGAGAAATTGGTGCGGTCACTCTCTTGTTTCCTAGGCTTATTTATATTTGAACTGGTATTATTAAACATAGATTAAAATAAAAGAAATTTTCGGGGTTGAATATTTAATTATAATTTACAGAAAATGTTTTTCTATAAACTAAAAAATAGGGGACGATTTTAAAACGTCACAGTAGTAATAATGTCTTAGATAAAAATAATAGTAGTAGTAATAACAATAGTAGAAGCAATTTTATAATGAATCAGCATTTAAGTAAATATATTAATATAAAAAATAAACATTTTAGAATTTTATTTTAAAACAAACGCAGTTCCTTCTTTAAAGGACAATTTGTAACACAAAAAATAGATACTAAAAGTTAAACTTTAGGATTATAAAATAAAAACCTTTAAAAATTAGCAAATATCTTTTAATTAAAACCAACCACTTAATATCTCAGTTTTCATAGACCTGATCCTTATCAAAGCTATCTTGGAAATCGATATTATCGCCGAACCACAACTTAATCTCTCTCTGAGCACTTTCCAAAGAATCGCTTCCGTGGACCAAATTACGTCCCTTATCGACACCAAAATCACCACGAATTGTTCCCATCAAAGCTTCTTGCGGATCAGTTGCACCGATCATTTTCCTACTTTCCTTGATAATATTTTTTCCACTCCACACCATACATATTATCTGTTTGTTGAGAAAGAACTTGATAAAATCCTTGAACCACGGCTTATCGACATGTTCAGCATAATGCTGTCTCAGCATATTTTCTGTTGCAATAACTAATTTCATAGCAGTTAGAGTGAAGCCTTTCTTTTCAAATCTTGATATTATTGTGCCTGATAACCGACGTGCAATGCAATCTGGTTTGAGTGCTATAAATGTGTGTTCCATCTTTTTTAAGGGTTCGGCTGTCTTAGTATTCAAATGTGGTGGTATGGTGTACGGTATTAGCGGTACAAAAAGCATTAAAAGCATTTTTTATTAAAGGATTATCTACAATAAAGTTGAAATTTGACATTTAGAAAATAACGGTATTTTTTAATGTTTCTCTATTTCCATTCAAATTGCTAATTGAAGAGAAAAGTTGGTGCATTTTCTGAACGCTTCTTAAAAACTGCTTGTTTGTTATAATTCAATATGAAATAAATTTTATTATTTATATTTGATGTGCATGAACTCTAACGAAGTTTTCAGAATTATGAATATCTTGAGATTTTTTAATATAAAATTACATTTTTTTAATAATCTACATGTCATTTCAAATGTTTTGCTTTAAATTGTATGTTTAAAAGATAACATGAATCGTTAAATTGTAAAGATTGTCAATATATTTTTTAATAAAGTTTAAGCAAAAATCTAGCAAATTCTTTAATATAATTTCACATCCCGCTTTTGATTCTTTAATTTGTTTTTTAAAAAACATGCCTGCACTGAGACTCGAACTCAGGACCTCTTCGGCCACAACGAAGCATTCTAACCAACTGAACTATACAGGCCGTTAATATTGAGAAGTTTAATATATATACCACAAAATAAATTTTGTTTACAAAACATATACAATATGATATATAAACAAACATAGAGCTACCAAAATTTTTTTATGGCTACAAACGAATTACAATAATCATTAAAAAAATATCAACCTTTAAGATGCATGGATTTCAAAAGAGCAAAACGTACAATGGACTAAAATTTTAAAATTCAATATTAAAACGCTGAATAAAATGATTAAAATAGTACATAATTAAATTTGCATTATAAAAATTATCTTTACAATATTAAATACTTTAGAATTCGGAATTTAATAGTATACTCACACAAAAAAAGAAAATGAGAAAAGAATCGTCTAGATAAATGATAAAGAAGAATAATGACATTTTGAATTCGAATGTTTGAAATAATCGTTTTTAAACCTTTATTATATTGTTTTTTTAAGAAATTTTGCGAATCATATAAATATAAAATAAAGAAATATTTAATGTTAGAATCGAATTATAAAAAAATCTTTTTTAACAAATTATAAATCAATTTTGTTGGAAAATTCGGACATAAGAATAATTTTTTATGATTTTTTTTTCTCAAACAACTTAATTTTTAAACTATAACTTTTGTTGTAAAAATTTACTATCTTTTAAAATTATAACGATCAAATACTATCTAAAAATCTGTTTATTCACAGAAAATCTCAAACTGTATAATAGTTTTTTTTCTCAAAATCGCAAAAATGTAACTAAATTTAAATAATATTTTGGTTGAAAGCTGAGATCAGATTCAATTAGTATATCTTTATGTAATTTTTTTGAATTTTAGCTATTTACTTTATTACTGTTTTTATCCATTTTTGTTAACAGCTTATTTTTTTCATTGCAAAACCTGTTGCTTAATTCTTACAGACGTCCGATTTACAAACACATTTGCTCGATGCAGAATATACATTTAAGCATTTGGTCTAAAAATTATTTGCTGATGTTATTAATTTTAAAATGTTTTTTATAAAAAATATTCATTATTTTATGGAAATTTAAATCAAACTATAATCGTTAGCAAGAACTGCCTTTGAACCGCTTAACTACTGGTTTGACCAATTCTGACGTGAAAAACCAATGTATTAAATGGTTCTAAAGCAACATTAAATATAATAAGTACAATTGTACTAAATTTTTGCATAAAATTTTAAATACATTTCTTTCTTTTCTACAGATTTCAAAGAAAAACCATTAGACTTTATTAGTTTTTTATAAGGTGTAATAAAAAAACAAATCTATATTTCATAGTAGTAAAGAAAACAAAACATTTCACTTCAAGTGTTTTTCTCTAAAAAATTTTTATTCCAGCTATTTCATTTTCTGTAAAGTACAATAATTTGTTATATATTTATATACATTTATGAACTTATCTGATTTTAAAAAAACCTGAAATTCACTACTTCTAGTTACTTTAAATAACATAATAATATAAAGTTACTCAAAACCATTATTTAACGAACAATTTTAAATTTAATTACAAACAATAAAATTATGCCTAACTGCTGCTTGTAAAGAACATTTTTGCCCGCAATTATTTTAATAACAATAAAAAAAACTATTAATTATTTACCAAATAACAACATATATCGTTTTACAATTTTTTATACGAATTTCATAACCCCTTCATTGTACCTCTTATTACAAATTCTACTTAAAATTCATAAGCAATCATATAAAAATTACAACTGAAAAACATCTATATGCTTGCTGTAACTTAATGGCTTAAGTTAAAATAACGTAAATACATTGCGTAAAGAGACGATTTTGGGTTAAGAATTTATTTATCATAAGATGGGTTTAAGCGGCCAGGATTGTACCTGCTGGCGTCCACATCTGGTCTACCTCGTCACTCCTTCCTCTGTCAAACATGGGTGGAATTTTGAGATTCTATTTAAAGCAAATATGGAGGTAAATCTTGGAAGCAAAGCCACACAATTAAGAGGTAACACATCAGAGAAGATAATGTGGTTAATCTATTTACCACAATACTCTATTCGGTGTTTTTTTTTACAAAACAATGCGACTTTAATTGACTTTTTAACTCTTTTGATCGCTAATTTGTAAAACGAAATTAAATTAAGATTCTTTCATTATAAAATCGATAAAAAATTTTTTTATGTATATTTGCTATATGTCATCATATTTTATTTGATAATATATTTATTAGGTAAATATAAAAATAAAATACACATAGGTAGTTTCAAAAATATGCAAAAAACAACAAACCTTTTGTGTATCATTATTCTTAACATATTTCTATCATTGATGCACTAATTAATGTATAAAAATAAAAACAAAATAAATAGATTGCCGTACTCTAAGGGTTACCGGTAAGATTGGCAAAAATTTTGAAAAGAGTAAGTTTTGTGCTTTTAAATTTAGTTACTAATTTATACACTGATCTGCCTCGGTATGCCATGCGGCTTTATCGGAATTAATTATCTTTAATTTCTGTTCTTCATTTATACTCATGCTCATTGTAATAATTTATCTGTATATAAACAACACACGGTAAGTTTAATGATTGAACATTCTTATTGGTCATATATACATAACTAAAGTCAAGAAATCAAATATAAGTCTGAAAATCGCGAAATTATATAATTTCCAGATGCAATTATAATTTGATGTCATTAAAATGTAATATAAACATATCAAAAATTTCTATATTGAACAAACGAATAAAATTAGTAAAAAGATTAAAGGTAGTTTTATTGATGCTTCAAACATTTTTTAGAAAATTTTCTTTTACTAAATGTACCTAAAAGGCATGGTATTTTGTTTTAAAAAAATCGCTATGAATTAGCATAATAAAAGATTTTCTATTTTTAGATACAACAGTGAGAAATAAAGTCATGCTCTTATTGTTTTTATCCACATTGAATTTCATATCTAGTTAAATATAATTCATTTGATAAATACACTAATTACATAGTATATAAATTCACCTCTAATACAAAAAAAACTGATAAATAGCAATTTAAAAATGAAAAATATTAAAAAATAACTAAATGCACAAAATTGAAAAAGAAATATTCGCTTTTATATTTTTTAATTTTTGAAAGATATATTTACAATTTAAAAATGATGGTATATATAAACAATCCAAATTTTTGCAATTCTTATTGCATATTTTTCGCAAAATTTTTATAATAAAATTGTTTACAATAGGATTTAAAGCATATGAAATATTTTAAAAGCCGTATGTTTTGAATTGTTAACAAGTGTCTATCATGACATAAAAAATTAGAAAAGAATTGTTGTTTGGAACCACTTGTACTAGATCAAGTTATATTTGTTTATGTATAGTAAGCATATATTATATTAGTAAAAAACCCTTCAATGTTCTTTATATATTTAGTAATATATCAAAATTACTAACCACCGTTGTGGCATATAGCTTTCAAAGACATGCTCAGAATTTTTTTATCTGTTGAATAAGAATGCAAATTTAAACCATGATGTCAAATACATAGTTTCAAATACATAAAAAAATTTAACTTTAACACAAAAAAACGAAAAGTTATCTAATAAACCAAAATTTTGGCATCATTTGCAAAAAACACATTTTGAATCTATTGCGTCTATAAAATGTTCATTATAACTAGAAAATTGTGCTTCAACATGTTTTGCTACCAAAATAAATTAAAAAAAATAGTTATACAGTCTATAAAACCCTACAATATAAAATAGGTGATAATATTTTAAGTATTTGCCAGTTATATATTTGTATCTATTATGAAAGAATTGGCATCGCCATTTTCTTCATGTGAAAAACCGATTGCTTATTGTAATTAAAAAATAGCCCATAAAACTTGATTCATATTTTTATTTAAAATGTTTTCTAATATCTCAAACATAAATAAACAAACGCTCTAACAGTATCTGCCTGCTTCGGACCCAATGTGATGGCACAACTTCTAAGTCACTGTTTAACAACTACCTTACTCCTTCTAGGTTGACGTAGAGCTGGGAAGTTTTTGATTTTGGGTTTTTTGTTTTGTAAAAAACAGAATATTGTTGATCATATTTTTTTACCATAAAAAAACAATGTAACGGTGTGAAATTTACAGTAAATGTTTATTTAAAAAAACCTTTTTTTTGTGTTATTTAATTAATTTTTTATACCAAAATTAGACATATCTAAAACCATGATTTATTTTTGGCAAAAATATACATTTATTCCAAAGTCGTATATTTTTTAACAGAACAAATACCATTATTTATATTATATAATAAAAGATAACACCAATATTTATAAAAATTTTTTTTCATGATGTAAAATATATCTTTCTTTAATTTATTTCACAAATTAACTTTATTTTCTACTGATTACTCTTTTGAGTATTTTCAGGAATAAGATCTATATTTTTTATGAAATTTAATAAAATAATAATTCTAAATTCATTAGAATTTTAAGAATTGAGCGAAAAGAAAAATCTGTTTTATTATTTTGCACAAAAAAGACTATATATATTTTTTTTAAAAAGTGTTAAATGATTCGTTTTCATTTTACCACAATTCAAAACATTTTCTCAACGATTTTCAAAAAAAATAAAATCTTACTGTGGCATTACTTGGTGGGAATTTACCCGATCCCAAGAATCCTTCTAAAATACTTAAATTATCATATGAATGTTGTTTATTTAGATCAAAGAATTTATTTTTATGTCCATGTGGATTCTTCTTTGGAGTATAATTTTTCATTATTTTATATATATATCTATGGGGTATTAAATTTTCTTTCTTTTAAATAGTAATTATTTTTCTTTGAAAAGTAAGGATTTACAAAAAGAAAGAATAAAATTTTTATTAATACCACACTTACATAATTAAATGAATTTTTTTATGTTAATTCAGATTTAAAATTACGTCAAAAATATATTTTCAATGTCGATAAGTGTTTTTCCAATAAAATCTATTTTTATAAAAATATATTTGGGTTTATTCATAAAAATTTATTGTTTTCT